TATGGCCTAATGCATAACTGAAGAAAGGAAGGAACAGCGGACTGGCACGATCTAGAACTATCAAACATTGTACAAAAAAAATACGAAAATAACAAGCCTTCCCAGGGAAAACATAACAACTTTTGACGCAATAAAAGAAGTCATCTCCATAAAGTCTCGTTATTTGTACATGCCGTATTACAAAGAAGTTCACAAGACAAATAACCAAACTAACAAGTTATAGTTTGTATTTATAGCGATTTTGACATAGCAACAACCTTAAAAACATAATTACGATTGACGATGGCTGTAACGGCTTAGGCGTCGACACGGCACTCATCACCGTAACGTAGTGTATTAAGAAAAAAATTAATTAAATTGTTAATTATTTGTCGTAATAGCACGCTGAATAGACAATCAAAGTTAGAAAAGAAGAGTTAACTGTTGGTCAGCCTGGAACAATAAGTATGAACTTCTAATGTATAACCGATCAAAGCTAACTAAAATTATCTACAACGATCAAACGAAACAAAACAAACTCGTCTTCACAGTGAAAAAGTAATGACCCGAAACAATGAATCTTCAAAAAAACATCATCACCGCCAAGATTCGTTGTTTCCAGAGCTATAACAAGCAGAACTCACCGATAACCAAAGAATTAACGATTTTTATACTAATTTTAACACATTGAAACAATAAACTTAAGAAACATTTTTTTTAAATATTGGTCAATGTTGATAGCACAATAGTGTAATAGCTAATCGAGCACGACGAGAAAGACGGTCCAAAGGATGATCAATGACGATCGAACGAATGTTGCAACACATATTAATAAACAATCCTTCGCGGCGAAAACGTAATAACACTCGAAAACAACAAATAGGTAAAAACAAACTATATTTAAAAAGCAGATAATATTGTCGAATATATTTTATACACAAAAAATAAATATTAAAGATAGTAGTAGCTATTAAAAAAAAGTTATCACACATTTCCCTTTGATTTTTATACAAGCATGGGAAACAATTATTTCCCTCAAATATCATGGTCACCATTTAACAAAAAAAGAACATTTTAAATCTTTCCCGACTATGGAGTGATTCTATTATAGAATATACAATAAAAAACTTGAAGATTTATGTTACCTTTTTGCTTTTAGTAGTTGAATACACAGTTATACGCATAAAGAATCGTATATTGGATTGTTATTGATTGATTTCCCTTCGACGGGTCTTTCTCCTCCGTTCCAACATGTCAAAACGAATAAAGTAAACTTTTCAAAATGTATTTATTCAAATATGGACCATACCCATACACCCAGTTAAATTGTAAATCTCCAAGAGAAAATCTAAACTCGCTTTGTAACCGTGTTGCAATTACAAAATAACAATTTGTTAAGTTCATTTTAATTTTATTTGCAAACTTGGTCCTAAGTTCAAGGTCCCTGGTGCAATTTAAAACACGTGACGTCCTTTATATTATGCACCGGCTCGGTGCCCGCACGACAACCGACCGGGCATGCGAAAAATTGACCAAACAAGGGGGAAAAACGGTTTCGGCACTGTGTATAATATCACGACTTGAGGTTTAAAGCAGAATAAAAAATTAATAATTAAGGGCGTAATTAAGCAAGAAAATATAACAGAAACACATGCGAGAGATAAAACTATTTCAAAAACAGACACCCAAAAACATAGATTGAAGAAAAAAGAACACAAGTCCTTTAAACAATTTTACCTTATAAATTAATCATTTTATTACATGGTACTGGATGATTTAAAACGGCGGGATAGCAAGTTAACAATATTTAATTGTACAAAATAATTAATTTTAAAGCGATAATGTTACGGTTTAAGTAAACAAGATTTATGCATTAATCTGCAACACTGGAATTAAACCATGCGATAAAGGCCATTTATGTTTGTTTTTATGCATTCGCGAATATAATTAATTCAAGTTTGCCCATTAACTTAACCAGATTACGCATAAACATTTGTAATCTGGGTTTCCACTTAGTAAAAACTTTAACAGTATTTCAGTAGAATAAATATATGATCCCTTGATCAGATATGACCGAATGTTGAAGATGATACGCGCTTTTTGAAAATAAATTAGCCGATATTTGATCATTTCATCCGGAAACATTATCCACTTTATTAATTAAAAACGGTCACAATCAAATATTTAGATTAACTAGCTAGCATAAACAAAAAATAAAAGTGTTTTATTTTTGTTCTTACTGATCGATTCTACTTTTTGCTTAGTCATTTATTTAAAGAATCGTATGGTCTGATGAAATATTGTTTAACTTTTACTATAGCGTATTTATGATATTGGTTTTGTATGACTGGAAAAGAAAATATTATATATTATAACGAAGAATATTATGTTTGTACTGTGAATTTCAGAACTGAATTATTTGCGGGTTAACCTGTTAGATTAGAGATAAAAGAAGTTTGTATAATACAAAGTTCAAACTAATTACAAACTTTCTCAATATTTCAGCTGAAGCAAAAATGAACTGTTATGATAAACCGCGTTTTGAAATACAGTCGATTGTTGACATTTTTCGTTCCATAACGTTCTGTACTAATTATGGAACAAAGTCAAAATCAAATCTTTGGATTAACTAGATCCAGCCTATACTAATCTTAAGATAAGTTCTTTTTGCTGCGCACTTACTGATCAGCACATTTATTTTTAAAAAAGTGTTAAGCGGTAAAGACTATATAGTTTATTTTGTTTATCAATTAGATACACTCATACATATTAGAACTCAGGATTCCAAATAGAAAAAACTTTTTTAAATATTTCAGGGCAATGAAAATGGTCGCATATGACGAAGAATTATTTGAAAATATTCGTTAGTTGATATTTTCGCGTATAACGTCAAATAAAAAATCAAATTAAAATCCTTTGATTAATTACATCCAGAATAAATTAATCAAAATTATGTCAATTTCAATTCCTTTTAATTTAAAACTTTTCTTTTAAATATATAAGCGGTTTTTTGTATCATTTGTGAAAATTGATTTTCAAGTATACTCAATAGCTACGATTTTTAATCTCGGTCCGAAACTATCGAAAACGTTTTTAATTTGTTGAATATAAGCATCAAATGTGACAAAAAGCGTTTCGAAAATACAGTGGAATGTGACCATTCCATCCCCTTTTTTTAAATATCAAACGTCAAAATTAAATAATTGCATGGAAGTACATAAATCCTCAAATAAATCTTACTCTCATAACTTTTGATACTTTAATGCAATCTTGACTTTCAAAGCATCTAGTTTGCTCAGGCGATATCCCGCAAACTATCTTGGATAAAAAAAGAAGAGAAAGAGATAGATAGATTAGATTGATTTAGAGAGAGAATGCAAGCTTGACTTTTAAAGCATCTAGTTTGCTCAGTCGATATCCTGTGAACTATCTTAGATCAAAACAAGAAAGAGAAATAAAGAGATAGATAGACAGTGAGATTGATTGATTGATTTCGAGAGAGAGAGAGAGAGAGAGAGAGAGAGAGAGAGAGAGAGANGTGAGAGTGAGAGTGAGAGTGAGAGAGAGAGGCAGACAGACACAGAGAGACAGAGACAGAATTGTCCCAAATCAATATTGAAACAGTACGTTCCCCAATCCAATGTGCTAACAGCAACAACCGTTCTGTGTAAGGGAATTTATAAATTTACAAGTTCGTCCTCTTCACCCTTGAAAATCAACGCTTCTTGTCCTTAATTAGGATCAAATCCGACTGTCTAACTGTGTCTTTTGCGTCGCATAGTAACCGCAGGTATAATTCTCAGGAGTCGTCGAAACAGTCTGGGTGGGTTGAATTTTCAGAATTATCTATTAATACTGGAAGGGTTTTAATTAATTAAATTTTTAAATGTTAAGTCGTTTATTAAGCATAAAAGGTTGACAAATTACTTTTGGAAGATTCTATTTTGCCAATGACAGACAATAGCAAATTTTATTAATTATAAAACGAACAAATCTTTGGATTTACTATATCCCGCCTAAACTAAATCCAACTTGGGAAGCCGTTCATATTATTCCTTTCGTAAATCTATTTGTATTCGGGGTCAAACTTATTTTTTAAAAAATGCTTAATATTTGGGGATAAACGAAAATCACAGATTATGAAAGCTTTCGCAAAATAGAAGAATAGGGAAGAATTTTCATCCATAAACGTTAGCTTTTTCCATTGTCAAACAACAAATCGAAATTTAATCTTTCAATTAAGAGTATGACAATCATTGACAATGTCGACCTATAAAGACCTTTAATGAATATTAAACAAGTCCATGTCTTTGGATTAACTTTACTAAACTAGGTTATATTTAAACTTGTAAGTTGGTTTTTGATTATTACTGAAAATTAAACGACCAAAAAACCATTAACTGCGATACAACACACATCCTGGGTTTATACGTGCTAAAAACGTTTTTAAATATTCACCAACATCTTAGTCGTTTCACATCAATATAAGGTCAAAACGAATTCGGACTAAAGTTAGCCAAATATATTGGATGGAGAACGGGCGATATTTCATGATTTTATTTTTTAAATAATTTTTCTTTCTGATGGAATGCCGAGAATTAAAAACAGATGAATGATTCAATGCGCACTTGAGGAATCCAACAAATGTAAACAAAGTCATCTATCCTTGCAAGAAAAGGGGGGAAACTGTATCAACCCAATATTCATAGAGAAAAAGGGCGATCCGGTGACTTATTTGAAAAAGGCGTAAATAATTAAAATACGTTTTATGACTCCCCTTTTAGATTAGAAGCATAATACGATATTAATACATCAAGCGATGATCCTTCTTGTGCAGAAATATAAAAAATGTTTATACACATATATGCTAGGAGATAATGGGGATCTTGAGATTTGATAAAGTCGAATCGAACTCAGACTGTTTGTAAAAAACAACGCGATAAAGCAGAATGTTTTCGATGCGAGTAAGCCAAAATATTTTGGGTAAAAAAATTGAAATACGGCCCTCGGCCGAGGTTTACCTGTTGGGGAATCCAAAATAACTGCTGAACACAACACTGTGATAAAATAAATAAACACTTCCGGTGATCGGCTCTTGATAAAAACTCGAAAACGGATTGTGTTGAACTGGTTACTAGGTCGGGAACATTAGTGAGACGAACGGTGCAAAGGCGCTTGATAAACTGGAGGGAGAATTGACAACGGGCCGAGAGAAATGAGTGGGGTCGCCCCGAGAAACCAATGGCGTTTTACGAACGGAATCCCTCAACCTTGACGCCTTTGCCTTTCGTAGAAGGCATCGACGAGGGTTGTCCTTTTGGTAACGATTTACAGAAATGATATAACGATCTCATTAAAAGAAAAAAGGTCCGTTTTGATTGGATTTTAAATTGGGTAAGTTAGACACCATTCTGGAAGAAACGCACAATTGATATTTATACAATGACAGGAAAAAAATTCCACCCACTTGTAATATAAATTGATTTGTATATATTTTTCTATATTAATCAAAGTTTCACGTTTTTTAACGTATAATAATTGAGTCTTTGTCTAAAAAAGAAAAAATGTAAATTCGTAAGAAAAATGAAGAAAAAAAAATAAGACGGGCAGATAAAATTGTTTTAATTTTGTTAACATTTCAATATCGCGTATTTCCTCCCTCCTCTTGCTTTAATTACCCTCATCTTGGCGCCTTGGCTTACGTTCTAACAGTCTGGAATTGTCTCTTTGCTGGAGGTTAGTATTTTCTTCACCAAGAATCCTTTCAAGATCGTGGAATGTATCAGGAATTGATGGACGTGTTCTTATTCGTCTTTTGAGGTTATCCCATAAATTTTCGATGGGGTTAAAGTCTGGAGAACGGGCTGGCCATGCTAAGACGATGTTGTGCTGTGGCAGTACGTTTGTACTAGGCGACCGACATGTGGACGGGGATTATCGTGCATTAGAGTAGGATTGTCGTTGATTTCATCGAGGATAGACAACGCATGTTGTTCCAAAATTTCATCTACATAGCGAGTGAAAGACCCCACGAACAACAATCAGCTACGTTGAAAAGGTTGGCTCTGGGAAAAATGACAAGCTCCGTACCTTTGATTTCGCCTTCTCTACACTCATGCACACCAAACTGAAAGTAGAGCAGACCAATCGTCCAAAGACCAATGGCTGTGTTCTTGAGCAAGTGGGAGCCGTGCAACTCTGTGTTCTGGTCAATTCTGGTCCTCTTACGGGACGAAACGCCATCAGTCCATACTGGTTTCATCTTCATCGAGCAGTGCGTTCAGAAATTTGGACACCTCGAACTTCCTGCAGCTGATGAATCACTTGAACAACAGTAAGGTGCCGGTTTCGCAAAATTCTCAAAGTCAAAAAACAGTTATCCTGTGGGTCTGTTACCCTAGGACGTCCAGAACCGGGCCTTCAGTGGTAGAACCCAGTTTCTCGAAAATGTATAACGGTGTCACGCAGAGTTTCGTATGGAACTCCGATGACAATAGCCGCATACCTGATGGAACGTCCATCATCAATAAGTGCCACACCACGCGCAACATACTCAGCACTAAGTGGCATTTTTAAGTATGAAAATTGAAATTAAGAAAACAAAGATGAAAACTAAAGAGTTTATTGCTTCATAATTGAAATGGGACTGAAAAAACATATTAATTTCCGTAAAAAGTAAATATTGAAAAATCCGTTATCTTTGTTTTGGATTAAGGTTACGTGTGTTTACCTTTAATTGATATCCCCAATTTAAAACAGCATTAACAAATAGTTATTGACAAAAACGATGAGACAAATTAAGAGCAGAATTTTCTTCGATCGAGAAATAGAGAAAAAATGGAAAAAAAAAATCAATTGGGTGGAATGTTTTGCCTGTCAGTGTATTTTCATTACTAGTATCCACATTTACACCATTATTATTTATTTATGAACGGATATAATCGTACAAAAGTATATAAATGTATTACAAGTAATTATACATAAAAAGAGCTCATATTCGTGTTTCCCTGCGTGCATGATCTCCATGGATATACTTATATGGAAGATCGGACGAAGGAAACGTAAAGCATGCGAAGACTAGGCCTATAGAATCCCTTGACTGCGTGAAGGATTTGTTGACTTTTGGGTCAGCCGCGGACGGCGGGGGGGGCCTGATCAGGGGCACAGAGGAGTTAGGGTGCCAGATCCTATCTGCAAGATAGACGTAGCCAACTGAAGTACGGTGTAGCGCAAGAGTGTTCCAAGTTCCAAGACCTGTAGCGCGCTACGTGGGAAAGGAATCAATAGTAGTTGACTGAAGGTGAGACCCCTAGCGTACTTAGAGAAGAGCCTGTTGTATGGTGGTGCCTTTATTGGGTTCCTTTACCGAAGGAAGTGTTACTCTAGGGGTGGTTAGAAATTCCGCTAGCAACAAAACCGCGGCTGGAGCCGATCTGGTAGTTTCGAAGCTAGTGAGGCACCTACAGTCAGGGTCGTAGAGATGCCTTCTCTATCTAGTTAATATATGCACGGTTAATCAGTTGATGTATTTCAGCGCCAAGTAAGCTGTTTTCCAATGCGACCCAGGATCGGGTGCAAAGATGCTGACCTGCCCCCTCGTCAATTTCAATGTCAATCTGTCTGTCTCGCTCTCTCTTTTCTTATACTCACTCAAGCTCACTCTTTCTCCCCCTCTCTCTTTATAAAAAGAGAGAGAGAAAGAGACAGAGAAGAGAGCGAGAATTGAAAAATGTAACGATATTGCTGGCTTTAAAACTATTACTAACAACTTCGATTCCACATCACAATTTACGTATACATGTGCGAACAAAGTAAAGCACTTCGACTCAATTGGCAAACTTACAATGTGCATAAACACATAAAAATTGTCATTGAACAAAGTGCAAGTAAAAAGTCAAACATACAATATTTTAAATAATTCAATATCACTGACGTCACTGATTCAATATGCTGTATTGAGGAGAACTTTGCCAACTAGTTATTCGGCTATTATGTTTTTGTTTTTTTTATAGCTGACATATTTTTATCAACATTTTATTCTTTTACTGTAAATATTACGTGCAACAAAAGTCTCAGCTTGTCTAGAGACGAGACGATAGACCATTCCAGCATAAAAATTGCTCCCAACTCGGCTATTATAATTAAAACTGATGCGGCCTACATAGCCAATTGAAATTGAGTCATTTTCTTCCACGTCCCGCAAATTCGCATTGTGTGTACTGCATGCAATTTTCAGCAAAAGTCAAAACAACCCATAATATTATTCCTCACCACCACAAACCCAAACGTTAATTAAGTGAATTCGGTTAATAATAGGCCGTAAGAAACAGCTTGTTAAAATTTGGCCATCTCTGAACGATATAAGATCGATTTCAACTACAGTACAATTACAATGTACGCATTAACAATCAATTATACACATAGCATAATATAACGGGCACGTGAACTTAAATTGAACACCCACCCGAGAAGTGCTGAATAAACCTTGGAACACATTAGACACAGAAAAACCTCATTACAAAGTTCTGAAATCATCGTCGACGAGCTCCCCTTTTTGACAGAATGTTCGTCTGTACCGGGGATAGGAAGTAAATATTTTTTAAAGCCTACATTTGAACCATTTTGTATACATCTTTCTTGGCAGAATTAAAAATGTCATACAATTTTACGATTCTCGTCCAAAACACATATCAACCAAACGAAATTGATAGTACTTATTAAAGCTAGATGCAAGCTGAATCACCTTCAATCTTGGTTTACCGTTTATAGTTATTTAGTTATAATTGATGCGTGTCACTAAATTAAATGGAAAGACGCTAGTTCTGTTTAGGATAAAAAGATTTGACTTTTTAGATTAGCAAAAAAGATAGAATGTGAATTGTGTATCCAACTATAGTTTGTGCATAGTTCCCATGTATCTTTGGTATAATTGTAGTGGAATCTTTTACAAACTGCCTTCTGAAAAGGAAACGGACAATTCAAACAAATACTGTTCTATTCGACAATCTAATTGCAGGAAAAGCGGTCAGTATCATAAAAACAGTCGTTTTCTACCATGACAAAAACCACTATTCGTAAATCAGTGTGTACGGATTTTGCCTACGTAAATATTTAAACACATTTCTCGCATAAGATTGTAATAACATATCATAAGCATTATAGGGAGAAGATAAACCGCCGGTTAACATGTATTGAAGAAGCGAGGATAGACGGGCCAAAATGATCAATTCACAATGCTTTAATCAGGCAGAAATCGTTGACAAAATAATTTTTGGTGATATATTGTAGTAGATTTTATACAATTTTTTGTTTTATGGGAACTTTCCATGTTTTTTGTTTGCTTTGTCTACACGAGATTGATGATTTGAGCTCACATCGGCATAATGGACTTCTCCAATTTCCGTATTCTTTTCACGTTATTTGATATGTACTATCAATTTCGTTTGGTTGGCGTGTTTTTTGGACGGTATACGAGAATCGTACAATTGTATAACATTCGCAATTCTCTTCATTTTTTTTTTGGTATGGGGTAGGGATAAACTCGACATTATTTTCTTATCAAAGGGACTTTTTTGTTACTCTAAATTGATAACAGTCCCTTAGATATTGAATTATCAAACAACTAAGCGATATCGTTTACCCTCTTACATACTCTTCTCCTGCAGGATGAAAGGATAAGCTTTAAAAATCAAATCGTCAATAATATAAATATCATCAGCCCTATGGAATACAACAAACTGAAAATTTAGATTTCTAAATCTAGATTTTAGATTAGGCTTCTACCAAAGCATAGAAAAGTGACTGAATACAAAAGACTGTAAAAAGAAATTAGTAAGGTTTAATTTTTATCAATTAATCTTTGCTCAGAAACATATAATATCTAACTTGGTCAACGATAGGTCAAATCATCCCTGTTTTACATTTCGACTTTGAATATTCCTTTTTTTGGCCCAATAACTTGTAGAAATGGAACAGCTTCTTACGTTTTACTGGATTTTCAACACTGGCAGAATGATTGTTCTGACAAATTATTAAATGCGTTGTGCTGGAACGTTTGAACATCAATTTTCTACTCAAATAAAAACTCGCTCTCAGCACGACAAACGAGAATGACACATCTACACGGAAAACAAATACTTTGAGCTCTGAAGATGATCTCAATAAAGATCGAAACATTGGGATGATAAAGAAAATGTTTTTCTATAACCTACGTACCAGACCGCACCTC